TTGGCTGAGGTCATTATCTTGCGGTTCGTGGGTTTGAGCCCCGTGTCGGGCTCTGTGCTGACAGCTCAGAGCCTGGAGCTGCTTCAGATTCTGTGTCTCCTTCTCGCTCTGACCCTCCCCTGTTCGTGCTGTCTCTCTCTCTCTCTCTCTCTCTCAGAAATAAATAAAACATAAAAAAGAAATTAAAAAAAAAGAAAGTAACTCTATTTGGAAGTGGGGTCTTTCCAGAGGTGTTCAGGTTATGATGAGGTTCCCAGGTCACCCCGAGCAATAGTACTGGTCCCTCGTAGGAGGAGGCCATCAGGACACAGGCACGCGCAGAGGGACAGCCTCGTGAGGACGCAGGGAGAGGACAAGGGGCCTCAGGGGCTGCCAGCCCTGTGACACCTGATCTCACGCTCCGGCCCCAAGAACACTGACCGCATAGGTGTCTGCCGTTTGAGCGCCCAGTTTGAGCCGCCCAGTGCGCCCCGCTGTTTCCGGTGGCCTGAGCTGCGATGCACCGACGACAGGCAGCGACAGGAAGGCAGGGATGGGCCCCTCTGCCTACAGGCTTTTGTTCACATTGCTGTAAACAAAGCCATTCGCTTCCAGTCACGGAGCTGAGGCCCTGCCCCCCTAGATTTCCAGGGATGCCCCAGGCCCACCGACGTCTCCGCAGGGCCAGTGGCTGGCCAGGGAGCTGGGGGAGCGGGCGCGCAGGGACAGCCGCAGCCGGCTGTTTGCTCCTGGAGCCGCCTCTGGCCCGCCCGCCCGCCTGGGGCCCTGAGCACATCCGCTCCAGAGGCAGGCAGCCTTGGGGGCTCCCCCAGGCCCCGGATGGCCGTGCCCCTCCTCCCCCCACAGCCGGGTGCCCCTCGAGAGCCCCGCCACGGACAGCTGCAGGGAGGGTGAGGGCCGGGGCCCAACAGCGCCAGTCCCCAAACTGCAAACCGCGGTCACCCACGCCCTGGCACGGCTCGGCTCGCTCTGTGGCCTGCTGCTGCCACAGTCCTCTGTCCTGGGTGCCCTTCTGACCCGGGCGCAGCCCCGGGGAGACAGCAAGTCCACACTCGTCACCGTCCACAGCAGCAGCATCCGCGGCCAGCACTTAGCGGCTGCTGCCTGTGTGCCCGCTGGGCCTGACCCCGCTGTCCCCTCTGCAGCCGTGCACCGCGCCCTTGTCCCCATTGGACACGTGAGCAGCCGGGCAGAAAAGCCCTGGGGACCCGGACGGGGGCCAGTGGCCCTGCCCGCAGGACTGTGACAGGCAGAGGGCTGCTTTCCATGCTGCCGCTGGGTGGGACGCACACAGACCCGGTCTCCCCTGGACACGGACAGAGGAGCTGCAGCGGGACCCTGGGAGCCCCTGGAAGTGAGGGCTGCAGGGGAGGGAGGGACAGGGGCGGGAGCTCGCCCCCCTCGCCCACCGGGCGTCAGCGAGCAGGTGGCCAGCACTACGTGCTCCGCTTGGAAGTTGGTCCAGACCCGAGGGGCCCATTTCCGCCGGGGTCTGCTGTGCGGACGGCGCTGGAGGACGAGGCACCGGGCCCCGCCACATGCCTCGGTTTACCATGTAGCCATCGGGTCGGGCTGGACGGCTCCAGCCTGGGAGGAACGGGGCCGACGGCCTGGGTGACGGGCCCAGCAGCGAGCTGAGTGTGGACACAGCTTGGCAGTGCTGGGCAGGTGGGAAGGACCCGCGGGAGCCCGGGCCCTGGTCAGCCCCTCCCCCTGAGGGGGCCTCGCCGCCACCCTCCTCCCCTGCCCGGTTGGCATGGCAACAGCCTCCCCGGTTCTGAGAGGGCCGAGGGCCGGCTGAGTCACGGGCCCCACTGGGAACACGACAGGGTCCCCCCGCAGGACAGTGGCTCTGGCCCCGAGGAAGGCTCGGCGGGAGACAGGCTGCGTGGGGGAGGGGAGGCGCCGGCACCACCTCCCAGAAGAAGAGCCACATCTGGGATCAGGACTGGCAAGGCCTCAAAGCTTAGCCCCAAACGCACAGCCTGTTCAGCACCACCTCAGCTGGGCACCGCCTCTGGGGACCCCTTGGTCCCTGCCCTGCCCTTGGGTCTGTGTGCTTCTGCTCTTCCTGAAGGACACTCTGCCAGGCTCGGCCCGCCCGGGAGGCCGTGTGCTCCTCTGCCCCGGGCCTGCTGGGAAAGGCGGCCCAGGGGAGCGCGGAGCCTCCCGCATCATGCTCCCACGCACGGGCCGGGAAGGGGCTGGAGCGCCCGCCCGAGCCCCCTGTCAGCTCTGACACCAGCCTGATCTGGCTCAGGGCTCCAGACCCCCTCACCGCCCCCCACCTAGGGGCCTGGCCCACCCAGCATGCCCAGCCTGGCCCCACTCGGAGCCTCTAGAGATCAGGCAGCCCCCCATAGGGTGTGGGTGGGGCAGGGGGGGACACATCCCCTCCAGCCCTTGCCCACCTCCCGCCAGGTCCAGGCCTCTGAGGGACCAGCCCCACCCTGAGGGAGGCGGGATGCATAGGAGTTGTGGCGGGAGGGGACAGGCCAAAGGGCATGTGGGGGGGGCACAGGGAAGACGGGGTTGCCCCTGAAACACAGGTGGAGGGGAAGCCTCAGATCCAAGCCCCAGGGCCTGTGCCTGCCCAGCAGGGGTCCCCTCTGACACTCCCCTCCCCCCAAAGAAGTTTGAGGCCCCTGACTAGGTCTCAGCCTGCATCCTGTTCCCCTCACTCAGAGCAGCAGAGGCGACCCATCCACAGCCCCGGCCACGCCCATGCCCACACCCCCCATGGCCACTGTAGGCGATGCTGCCTGAGACAGGGACCCAGAGTGGCCGCTGCCCACTGGGACCCGCCCCCCGCCCAGGCCAGAAGTGCCCACACCTCCCGCACACCCCTGTCCCCAGGAATAGTCCTGGCCGTCTCCACCTGGGGCGGACTTTATTACCACTGTCATCATCAGGACGATCATGCGAACACAGGAAGACAGCACTCGTTTCCAGACTGTCCTGGCAGGCGGGTGCACACAAACAAAACCTCCTGCCAGACGCTAAGCAGAACGACTGTCCTCTGGTCACTGGGAGCCGCCCCCCCCACCCCCCGGGGAGGAGCAGCACGCGGCGTAGGGGAGGCTGGACCAGCCCTCGTGGACCCGGCCGGCAGGCTCCCCCTGAACTGCACCTGCGCGCACCTCTAATCCCCGTTCCCACACAGTCAGTGTGTTAAATGTAGAGATTCCATCTGACCCGCATTGGTAGCAAATAAAAAACTAACCGCCTCTCTTTACATGAACTTCACAGTAACTGTCTGCAGAAGACAATGAATCCAGTGTTGAGAACTCAGGGGAGGAAAGTAAGTTTCTTCCTCGTGGAAGCCCCGCTGCCCACTGGGGCCGCGGGCGTGGCTTGGACACACACACTCACACACACACACACACACACACACACGGAAACCTGATCGTGGAGTACATGACAGAGTGTGAGGCACCACCAGCCCTTCTGGGACACTCGCCAGCAGGGGGTCCCCTTCCCCCAGCTCCCTCAGTCTGTGGCCGGTCCAGGGCTTCTGAGCCCCAGGCACCAACAGGGAGGGGGGCCACACCCCAGGAGAGCCAGGGGCGTCCGGGGAGACGGCCCCTTCAGTCCACCTGCTGCGAAGGTCACCGGTCATTTCACTCCAGACCAGGCAGACGAATAAATAGGACATCAAGTGTTGCCAGGAGACAAGAGAATAACGTAAACTTGGCTGGACTCTGTCCTCAGTGCCTCCAGCGAGCGGACACCAGGAGTCCAGGGGGCTCGGCCGCCGGCAGGCCCCCCACGAGCTGCGGCAGGCCCCCGTCTGGCCTCTCCCCTTGCCATCAGCACGGACATTCTGGCGGCAAGATTTGCCGAGTGAGTAGGCGGGAAACGCAGGTGACTTCCCCATTCTAGGAGCCGTGGACGACACGGAGGGCTTGACCCCAGCCCATCAGGGGCTTGCCCTCCCCGTGCCCTCCCTGTCCAATGGCAGCTTTTGCCCAGGCCCCACTGGAGGGAAGGGAGAGCCCGCAAACACGGTCCCTGGTCAGAGAGAGCGGCTTCGGGCCCCCAGCTCGCCACTCCAGAAACGACGGGCAGTTCCAGGGAGACCCTGAGCAGGCCAGCCAGTGACCGCAGGGCAGGGCCACACAGCCCAGCGGCAGCGGAGGCGGCCTCCTTCCCAGGCCCCTCAGGGCCCCACCCAAGGGATGCGCAGCGGCGCCCTGGCCCCTGTGCTCCGGCGGGGAGGCAGCACGGCCCATCGCCCACGGGAAGACAGCTGGCAGCCTCGGGGAGGCTCTTTCTGCATCTAAAGAGAATCATTTCCAAATTCCGATTTCCTGTCTCTGCCTCACCTCCCGTGTGGTCAGGATCACGAGCTCTGGGGGCCACACCTCCCACCCGAGCGCCTGGAACCCGGGAGCCACCAGCTTCCGGCAGCTTCTGCAGCCCTGCAGCGCCAGCTACGCCCTGACGCCCCCTGCCCGCGCTCTCTGCGCCCGGGGCCTCCCGAAGAGGCTCCTGCTGCCAGCCGCCAGGGGTGCCCGTTCCATCCAAGTGCCCTTTTTTGGGACACGCTGACAACTTCTGAGAGGTGTGCCTTCTCTACGGAGCATGGCTGCAGGCTCACAGGCGTGTGCCAGCGCGCCAGTGACGGTGGTCAGAGAGCCCTCGGAGGGGGACAGCTGTGCCTCCTTGAGCCCAGGAGCCTGGGCCTGGGCTCGGGGCCGTGGGGCACTCCCGGAGGTGACAGAGGGGACGCTGGCTGGAGGAGGGCAGGAAGAGTGTTTAAGGTCCGGGCACGGCTGGGGGCAGGGGTGAGCTGGAGGAAGGGGGCAGGGGGCCAGGTGTAAAGAGGGCTGCCCAAGCCGCTCTGAGTCACCCCGAGTCCGAGGCCCTGCCAGGGGCAGCAGTGGTCCTCCTGCTGGGAGCCACCCCCCCCACCCCTGGGCTCCCATCCCGCAAGCTCCACCCCAGGGCCCCACCTGGGAGGCCCCTCCCCCCCCTCCCACCCCCTCACGCCGCACAAACACAGGTCACACCAGCAGGGACTTGACCAGGCCACAGTGGAATTTTCGGACGTGGCGGTAGAGGTCCCCCGACTGCGTGAAGCGGCGCTCGCACCAGCGGCAGGCGTGCGGCTTCTCGCGCGTGTGCACCACCGCGTGGCGGCTCAGGTTGTGCGCGTACTGGAAGCTCTTGCCGCACTGCACGCACGTGTAGGGCTTCTCGCCGGAGTGGGTCCGCTCGTGGCGCTTGAGCGTGTAGGCGCACGAGAAGGTCTTCCCGCAGAGCGGGCAGGTGGGCGCCGGGCCGTCGGGCGAGAGGCGCGCGCGGCCGCCGTCGCGCTCCCGGAAGTGGGCGCTCAGGTGCAGCTGCAGCGCGCGGGCGCCGGGGGTCGGCTTGCCGCACAGCGGGCACGCGCTCGGGAGCGCGCCGGCGCCCAGCGCGGCCCCGCGGGCCCCCCGCCGCGCGTCCAGGTCCGGCTCCTCGCGGCCGCCCGCCGACGGCGCGGCTGCGGGGACGCGGGCGCCGCTGTCCTGCTCCGACGGCAGGTCCCGCGAGTCCCGCACCAGCGGCCGCGCGCCTTGGTGCATCTGGACGCACGAGGGTGTCTGAAGGACACGGGGGGGCCGGCCCGGCTTCAGGGACAGGTCCAGGGCCCGGTCTGCGTCTCCTGGGGCCTGCCACGGAGGGGGCCCTGGTGCTCGCGGAGGGAGGGCGCGGGCCCCAGGCCGGGGCGGCCTGGCCGGGGCGGCCGGGCAGAGCTCCGGGGAGCGGGCGGGCTGGGGGCGCAGGGGCGGGCCGGGCGGCTCGGCGCGGGCGGCGGGGGCCCCCCGGGGCGGCGCGCGGCCCCTGTCCCTGAGCCGGCCCTTGCAGACCTTGACGACGTCGTGCATGTGCAGGTAGCTGGCGGCGGCCAGGACGTCCTCCACCGGCAGGCTGCGCAGGTCCAGGCGGCCCCCGTACATGAAGTCCAGCAGGCGGCCGAAGGCGGGCGCCGTGACCACGTCGCCGTTGAGCCGCACCGCGTCGCGGCTGCCCGCGGGCCGGTCCCTGTAGAAGAGATGGAAGTAGACGCTGCAGGCGGCCAGCACGGCGCGGTGGGCCGGGAAGCGCGCGGCGCCCACCAGCACCGTGCAGTCGCACAGGAAGCCCTGCTCGCGCTGCTGCCGCAGGCGGCCCAGCAGCCGCGCGCCGTGCTCCGGGAACTCCATCGGCCGCCGCCTCGCCGGGCGCAGACGGGGCGCCCCCGCGCGCCCGCCGCGGCCGCCCCGGCACCTGCCCGGAGCTGGACCAACTCGGCCCGGAGCAGACGGAAGCCGCCGGCCGCGGGGCGGGTCTCGGGGCGCGAACCTGCGCGCGTCCCCGCCGGGCCGCCCCTGAACTTCTCCGCGGGGTGCCGCCCGCCGCGTCCTCCGACGCCCTCGTCGCCGCCCGCCGCCCGGCCCGCCGCCGCCGCCGCCGCCGCCGCTGCCGCGGGCCCCATTTATGGCAGCGCTGCCGTGGGGAGCGGGCCGGCGGGCGGGGCGGGCGGAGCTGGCGCCCGCCCCCCGCGCTCACCTCCGCCGCCCCGCGCCGCGCTCCGGCCGCCGCCCGCGCCGCGCGCCCTCCCCGGTGCGGCCCCGGTGCGCGGGGGTCCGGGCGACGTGCCCCGGCGGGGAGGGCGCGGGACCGGAGGGCGCCGGGCGGGGCGCGCTCCAACTTGGCCGGCCAGGCGGCGGCAGCCGCTCGCCCCGCCCCGGAGAGAGCGAAACTCGGGGCGGGGGCTGGAGGGGGCGGGCCGAGGCGACTTCCCGGAGCGGCGGAACCGCTGAGGTCACCCTCGCCGCCCCTTCCCGGCCCGCCCCGCCTCGCCCAGCCGGGCCCGGCGCGCCGCCAGCTGGGGCACCGGGGTGGGAGGGGATGAGGGGCGCGGCAGGGGAGGGGGCTCTCTCGCGATATTTGCCGCCCGGGCCTCCGTGTCCCACCCCCCTCCGTGGGGTCCCCACTGCGCCCCTCTGCTGAGGAACCCCTTCCGAGGACTGGATCCTCTCTGGGCCCGCGTAGGGCTGTCACCCGCCACCTCGCGGGGCGCTGGTCCTGGGGTGAAGGAGGGGGACCGGCGGAGGGGGTCGTAAATTTTGAAAAGATGACACCCCGGTCTTCGGGAAAGCCTCCTTCTGAGTTGCAGTGAATTTGGCTGGTACCCGCTTCCAAATTCTCAAGCAGGATCCCGGCCGCGGAGTCCCCCACGGGGGACGCCCAGCCTCTCAGCGGAGCTCAGTGCGACGCGTGCTGGGGGCCCGGAGCCTCAGGGACAGGGCACGGCTGGGCAGACCCGGTGGATGGGGCCGCAAATAGGTCGAAGGATAGGTCGAAGGGAGGCCTCAGGCGCCCCAGAGTCCAGAAGAAAAGTGCTTAGGGAGGGGGAGACCCTGTGGAGGGGTGGGGTTGGCATCCTGGGGGCACCATGCAGGAGCACCACTTCAGGCTGCGGGGAAGCAGAAGTAGCCTGGGGGAAACAGATGGCGGTGGGGACGCCTGGGGGGCTCAGTCGGTGCAGCGTCCCACTTTGGCTCAGGTCACGATTTCAGGCCTGTGGGTTTGAGCCCGTGCGGGGCTCTGTGCTGACAGCTCAGAGCCTGGAGCTGCTTCAGATTCTGTGTCTCCCTCTCTCTCTGCCCCTCCTGCTCCCCCATTCACGCTCCGTCTCTATCTCAAAAATAAACATTAAAAATAAATTTAAAAAATAGAAAGCGCAAATTTTGGAGACGTTGGGGCCCCAGGGGCAGGGGATACTGCTGGCTGGGAGTCTTTCCCCTGAGGCCATGGTCCTAAGGGGCTGCCCTTGAGGGAAAACCACTGAGGAGCTGACCAGTGCTCAGCTCACCGCAGGACCCGGGTAGGTGGGTGCTCTTATTCTTACACCCGTGCAATGGGGGAGGTTTTCAGGTAAGGGGCCCACGGCCACACTGAGGGCAGTAAGTCCCTGAGCCAGGATTGGAATCTGAACGGTCTCTCCTGAATTCCCACCGTGCTGCCCAGGAGGCTAGGCAGGGGAGGAGGAGTCTCGGCCAGGGGCCTAGACTGGGGCCGGGGGAGGGGCTGGATTTCAAAGGATAGGACCTCAGCCGCCAGACTCCAGACTGGAGGCCTGTGAGATGCGGAGTGAGCAGCCCCCGGGGGGCCTGTTCATAAGATCCTTAGGTTGGAGACCTGAGGACGGCCCAGCACAGCTGGTATCTAAAGCCTGTGGGAAGGAAGGCCACATTTAAAAAAAATTTTTTTTAATGTTTTTATTTAATTCTGAGAGAGAGACAGCGTGAGCAGGGGAGGGTCAGAGAGAGAGGGAGACACAGAATCTGAGACAAGCTCCAGGCTCTGAGCTGTCAGCACAGAGCCCAATGCGGGGCTCGAACCCACGAACCTGAGGGCTCGAATCATGACCTGAGCCAAAGTCGGGCGCTTAACCGACTGAGCCACCCAGGAGCTCCTACCTTTTTTTAAAGTTAATTTATTTTTATTTTTGAAGAGAGACACACAGACGCAGGGGAGGGGGCTGAGAGAAGGAGAGAGAGAGAACCCAAGGAGGCTGTGCCATCAGTGCAGGGCCCAACTCGGGGCTCGAACTCACAAACTGAGAGATCATGACTGAGGTGAGATCAAGAGCCGGACACCTAACTGACTGAGCCACCCAGGCGCCCCAGGAAAGCCACATTTTTATGCTAAAAAAAGTATTCTTTATTCATTTGAAACTCAAACCTGACTGGACATCTTATGTTTTTACTCCCTAAACCTGGCAAGTGCCCTTGGAACCCTGAGCTCACACATACTCAACTGCCAACACGGCCCTGGCTCCCCAGCTGCATCCACTCTGGGGGCCCCTCCTCAAGCACGGTCACCCCCCCGCACCTCTCTGGCGCCCGGCACCCCTCCGCCCTGCACTCCCCTCCTCCAGCCTGCCCCCCCCTCCTCCC